TAAAGGCTATTGGCTGAAGGAGCAAAAGGTGCTCCCACAGCACCATTCTTTAACCTTAAAATGATAATGTGACACCTGAAGTTATAGTAGCTATATTATAACACATCTAAGCTGATAAATAATATTTCTATATAGAAAATAAGTAAATAAGATGCCCAATTAAATATGAATTTCAGATAAATCACTTATAAATGGGAAGCATTCATGTCTTAGTTAGGGTTTCTTTTTTAATTTTTTAAAATATATTTATTTATTACATATACAGTGCTCTGCTTGCATGTATACTTGCAGGCCAGAAGAAAGCACCAGATCTCATTACAGATGGTTGTGAGCCACCATGTGGTTGATGGGAATTGAACTCAGGACCTCTGGAACAGCAGTGAGTGCTCTTAACCTCTGAGCCATCTCTCCAGACCCTTAGTTAGGGTTTCTGTTGCTAATCTAACACCATGACCAAAAAGTAAGCTGGGGAGCACAAGATTTATAGTCCATCTTTGAAGATCATGGTCCATCACTAGGAAGTCAGAGCCAGAACTCAAGCAGGGCTGGAACCTGGAGGCAGGAGCTGATGCAGAGACCATGGAGGGAACTACTTACTGGCTTGCTTCCTCTGGCTTGCTCAGCCTGCTTTCTTATAGAACCCAGGACCACCAGCCCAGAGATGGCACCACCAACTATGATCTGGACCCTCCCCCATTGGTCACTAATTGAGAAAATGTCTTATAGCTGGATCTCGAAGAGGCATTTCCTCAACTGAGTCTCCTTCCTCTCTGATGGCTCCAATTTGTGTTGACACAAAACCAGCCAGGACAACTGACTCCTTCAGTTCTGGGCCTTCAACTGCCACTGAGGCTACACCTTCCCCACTGGCCCCTCCTGACCTCTCACAGTGACAAGCCCTAGCTGCTTACCATGACCCCTTCATGCCTTCAAAACCAGTACCACCACCTGGGTGACTCTTACACATTACCAAGTCTGACTGCCAGCAGGAGGTACAACCTTGGCTGCCTCTGGAACACAGTTTCTCTGTGCTCCCAAGATACACTTTCCAGAAGATTTCACTTCAGTGATGCTGGTCTTTTCTTAATCACTGGTAATTTCCTAGCTCCAGCTGACCAGCATCAAATATCCCAGCAACACAAAATCTTGCTCTAGTAGTTCTGGTATCTTGCCGATCACAGCTGATTCTTGAGTCTCAGTTAACCAGAACCACAGATCCTTAATTCAAATTAACATGGCCCTGATAGAGTCTTCAAACTTTCCTCTTGAAACATCACAAGCCAGGCTTCCATCTTCTGCGTTGCTCTTAACACTCTTTTTTATTATTATTTTTTATTTGTTTGTTTATAAAAATTTCCACTTCCTCCCCTCCTCCCCATACCCTCCCATTCCCCCCACTCCCTCTCCTCCCCCCCCCCCCCTCCCCAGGCCAGGGAGCAGTCGGGGTTGGCGGCCTTGTGGGAAGTTCAAGTTCCTCCCCGCTCCCTCCAGGCCTAGGAGGGTGAGCATCCAAACAGACTAGGATCCCAAACAGCCAGTACATGCAGACGAAACAAGACCCAGTGCCATTGTCAATGGCTTCTCAGTCAGCCCCCATGTCAGCCACATTCAGAGAATCCGGTTTGATCACATGCTCGTTCAGTCTCAGTTCAGCTGGCCTTGTGAGCTCTCATTCGATCAGTCCCCTTGTATCAGTGGGTGAACGCACCCCTCGCGGTCCTGATTTCCTTTTTCATGTTCTCCCTCTTTCTGCTCCTCATTTGGACATTGGGGGGCTCAGTCCGGTGCTCCAATGTGGGTCTCCATCTGTATGTCCATCGTCGGATGAAGGTTCCCTCTGGTCCTGCCTATCTTGCTCACGTTTTCCCTCCTTCTGCTTCTCATTTGGATCTAGGGAGTTAAGTCCAGTGTTCCAATATGTGTCTCTGTCTCTATCTCCATCCATCGCCAGATGAAGGTTCTATGGTGATGTGCAAAATATTCATCAGTATGGTTATGGGCCAAGGCCAGTTCAGGCACCCTCTTCTCTGCTGCCCAGGGAAGAATCTGGGGACCTCTCCTTGAGCCTGAGCACCCCTCCAGAAACAAGTCTCTCGCAAACCCTAAAATGGCTCCCTTAGTTGAGATATATACTTGCCTGCTCCCACATCCATCCTTCC